TGGGAAGTACGTGCCTGACACAACCGGGGTACCATGGATGGGGCAACATGGATTCCGACCTTTGGCCTCTGGTTGGTGGATCTGGTCTACATGTCTCCCTCCCCACCATTTAGGAGCTACCTCTGACACATGTTGCCCGATCATGGGGTGGATCGCAACAGCGCGCTCTCCAGAGTGCTCCCATCTTCCCAACGATCGCAATGACGGGCTCTCCAGAGTGCTCCCATCTTCCCAACGATCGCAATGACGGGCTCTCCAGAGTGCTCCCATCTTCCCAACGATCGCAATGACGGGCTCTCCAGAGTGCTCCCATCTTCCCAACGATCGCAATGACGGGCTCTCCAGAGTGCTCCCATCTTCCCAACGATCGCAATGACGGGCTCTCCAGAGTGCTACCATCTTCTGCGAGATACTCTATAGTGTTTCATCAAAGCCAACGTGCTCATCGATCGTGATGCCCAGGGCCAGATACTTGACATGGGGGACTACTGGCAGCGAGCCTCCACGGTGTTTGGCAGTAATGTCTTATCCGGAAATGTGCAGGACATGCCTCTTGCTGGTGTTAATTGCGGATTGGATAGCGTTTCTGGAGGTGGTCAGCAATCTCGTTTGAGGCCTCAGTGAGAACCCAAGATATGTCATGGCAATCACCGCCGATCAGGGCGGCTGAAGACTGATGAGTGCAATATTCTTGATACTGTGTATTATCTAATAAGGATGGCGTAACACCTCTGTAGCCTTGTCATGATTCTAATTCCGACCGCCCACAGTCCTTGGCTACACTAAATTTGATGATGAAAACCTCTCCAAATCTCTCCAAAACAAACTTCAAATTCTTTCCAGTCTTTCGCCCAAGAGGGCATCCTCAGGGATATGCTACTCCCGTGAACCAAAAGGGACGGGACGAGCTAGTGATGGCAGGCACATTTCTGGTATAGATGCCCCCTCCATAACCATCACTACCGCCACTACCAGAATATCTCTCTACAAGATTTAGCATCTACCTTTCAAAGTGTGCAATATACCATGCAGGTACATAATGTGACTACCCTCCGTTAAAAACTCATAAAAACTCATACACGTGGATAAAAAAAACTCATCATGAAAACTCATACACGTGGATAAAGAAACTCATACGTATAATATTATAATACAACCCAACAGTGCGTACTAGTGGGATGTATTATACTTATGCTGACTTTCATACAAACTGACAGTTAACTTCTTCCTGTTTCTATGGTGGCGGTCTATATGGGATTTGTATGGGGTTTGTACTACCAAGTATGAGGTTTATATGCCCAGTATAAGCTGCCAGCATGATGGGCAAGTTGACTGGAAGTTTGTATGAAAGGTCAGCATAAACGTGGATAAAAAAACTCATCATGAAAACTCATACACGTGGATCATTAAAGTATATCAGTGTTCATCTATTCTGGTATACCTTCAAATTCTTTCCAATTTTTCGGCGACTCCTGTGAACTAAATGGGACGGGACGCGCTAGCGATGGCAGGCACATTTCTGGTATCGATACCCCCTTCACCATCATCACTGTACAGTCACCTACTTGTGCCTAAATATTTGGCATGCGATACCGCAACAATCACCACCGCCACTACGATTATATCTCTCTACAAGACTTAGCCTCTACCTTTCAAAATGTGCAATACACCATGCAGGTACATTGGCTGCCCTCAATTAAGAACTCATACACGTGGGTCATTAACGTCAATCAGTATTCATTTATTCTGGTATACCCTCTAGTTGAGGTCCTAGCAAATGGCACTATGAGTAGGCCCCGGAGGATAATGCTCGAGAATTTGATGGATTCTGCTTTTCAATATGATCGCATTCTGCTCCAAAATAGCACTGATAATCGCGGCTTGAATTCTGCTTCGGAAAAATGGAAATTGTGGTATAGATTACTAATGTTGCAGATTGATAACAACATACATTGTACTTTGCAGCATAAGTCATGTTTTACGAAACAGAAAAAATTACAAGAAGCACAGAATTATTAATACTCAGCAGGCAAAGGCGCGGTAGTAGCCGTGACCGTGAGGGCATAGTGAATTCTCATGAAAATCCCATATTTTGCAATAATTTGCAAGACTATGCTATTTTTGGGAGAATGAGGTTGAGGATTCCACTGCAGCTTTGCTTATGTTGATTAATATGGCGGTAAATACACACCTGGCAACATGGCGGTAAATACTATGCGGTAAACTCTATGCGCCATGGGCTACCTGATGCACCAGCCTGCTACGCCGGACGCCGCCAACCATGCATCGACTAGGCGCCAGGCGCAAACTGATGGTGGTAGTGGTGGTGGTGGTGGTGGTGAGAAGAAGAGCTCTGTGCCAGAGTAACTTTGCGGCGTAGAGAGCGTGTGTGGGCAGGCGTGTATTTACCGCCATATTAATCAATATGCTAGTTTTCGCAAGAATATGCTAGTCACCAGTTTCTGCAAAACTTGCTGGATTATGCTAGCGCAATGCTTGTTTCCAGAACGTGCTAAATACAGTAACTAGATATAATGCTAGCGTTATCCACCAGGGCCTAGCTATGAGACAACTTCAAGCACAACATTGACCGCATATTAATGTGAAAACTAGTTAGAAGAATTTACGTCATGAATTGCCCATCACTTTCTGCCACATTGTCATCACGTTAATTTTTTTTTTTTTTTTTAAACTCTTACACGTTTCCTACCTTCTTCAAAATGCAATAAAGCCGTTACAAGTCCAAGTAGAAACAAATGATTGTTTATCGTCAGCAATCGCCCCCAAATTTTCGCAATCTCGGCCAAATTATTTTATTTCTTAGTTCCGGTAAATGTGCCGTGTGTACTGCGATCTACGCCTATATGGCCTGTAATCAGCGTGGCTGTAGATCTTGGAAGGTCAAGTCCGCAGATTGAACCATACGTGTGGATGCTATGGGCTTGGAAAGTGAAAGAGGTTGTCAATGACCTGATTTCTCGTAAGTCGTTGGTTGTTTCACTTTTTCTTATTTGCACAGGGGCGTCGGAATGTATTTGACCTTGGTGCGGCTATGAAGAGGCAGGGATGGTCCGCCCCACTCCCCCAGAAAAATTTGGAAAATTGGGCCCGAATAGGCCTCTGATTAAAAAGGGGTGTCGGAATGTATTCGACCTAGGTGTGGCTATGAACAGGTGGGGGGAGTCCCCCGGAAAAATTTGAAAATGGGGCCCATACTCGATTGCTTCAAATTCTCAAGATGAAATTATTGCAAAGAAAAGGACCAAGGAGCTACAAGTTCTGCTATAATGGGCCATTCACACTACGCCCGAAACGTGGCGTACGTGACGTTTTCGTCCAGATAGCCATGACAACATGGAACGCGGCGGGAAAATCGAACCCCTGATACGAAAACGTAGACGACGTATCCAGACCCCTGTACCGACGTTCGTTCTGTCGTTCCGCACTGTTTGTGTCCAAAAGAAGCTGTGCGCACAGCTGTACGAAAAGCGTATACCTGTCTGTGTGAATGCATCTGCATGAAAACGACTTCCGCCAGTACGTCGTATTCCAAAACGTGACGCGCATTGTAATAGCCTATAACACCACCAGCTACTTGGCAATCAGCTCATGCGATAACATTGCACGACTGTACTGCCGTTTACAACTACCTGCCAATCTGCTCCAGCACGTCTTGGATGCTCACTCCAACAGCTTTCCACTTTGGAAGGTTTTAAGTTCTAGTAATAACATAGTTATAAGTAGGGCTCAAACGGTCACGGTTTTACCCCTAACGGTTAACTGCTAAGCTAACGGTCGGTTTAACGGTTATAACCTATAAGCCACGGCAATCCTGCGGACTATTTTTTAACCGTATATTTGACTATACTCATTCAAAAAATGTACCCTTTTCAGCACAACGCACACATGTACATTCTCTTGCATGCTCATTCATACATACTCTCACACCAAGAGACCAGATATGACCGAGTTGACAGCCCAGAAATTGCTTGCGCGTGCGACAGCCTGCGAAAATGCATACTTTGCAACGACCTGATACTTGAAAAATTGACTGAAAAGTTACTGCGTAACCGTTATCTTTATCGGTTAACCGTTAATTCTTCCTAACCGGTCTGCAACCGGTTAATCGGACTAACCGTTTGAGCCCTAGTTATAAGTAACTGGTGGTGCTCGTGGATATTATAACATAACTTGTAGTTCCTTGGTCCTTTCTTTGTTATAAATTAATCCTTGGCTCTCCATCCTGCAGCACCCCATCGCCACCACTGCTGTACATTGCAGCCCCATTCAGTCAATATATTGTTAGTTATTATACGCATTCCCGCAGCAGCGTCAACCAAGCAGTTATGCTTGATCCACACGTTCACTTATGCTGGACATTAAAACAGAGCAGACGTAGATATCTCCTAACAGTTAGAGAATGGGATTCTACAAAACCAATGATCAAAGTTAATACTTCAGTAACATGGAGCGTCACAAAATTGGTCTCATTGGAGAAAACGTCATCATTATTGTCTTCTCATATAGCATCATCGTCAATGGTGAAGAGTGCTTGTGCACACCCTCGTCATGAGTAGAAACAGCCATGGCACCCTTAACGTCACGAGTAGAAACAGCCATGGCACCCTTAATTTAACATTAAAAACTCATATCAACCATTCTATAAGGGGACATCCATAATTATCGATCTTTTTCAAGTCAATATTATTTTTCGTTCATGGGGGTGGGGGTGGGTCATAACTAAACTTTTCGTGAAAATAATAATTATCGATAATTCCGGATGGCACCTAATATTACTATTTGAATCTTTTTTAATAATTGTCTGGCAACTCGACCTCATACATTATAATTTATCTGGCCCGGCCATTGACCATGATATCTTGTTGGTCTGTTGTTGTTGTTGTTGTCATTTCCTCCTTCGTTCTTTTGTTACGGGTGCGTTGTTTCAAGTATAAAAAGACAGAAAAGGCACACATACCATAATCCCGCCTGGCACTTACTCTGTCTCTTCGGCGGCGTGAAGCTCTTGTTGGCCTCGTCTGGGGCTCGGGTGGCGGGTATACCTGCTTGTGCCAGTACGGCGTTCCATCCGTTGCGGAATAACGTTTCCAGCCCGGACTATCGTCAGGCGGATGTTCGGTAGACCAGGTAGACATGACAGGGATATTCGGTGCAGAGAACGACACGTAGATCTACGCGTAGATCTTCGTTGATTATATCGTGGCACGGTACGCAGGTGGCATAAGAAGCAAGTCTTGTCACTGAGTCCGTCAGGGATACCAAACTACACGTCGGTGCTGGAGGTCGGACGGATTGCGGATTTGCTAGGGGACAAAACAGCCGGGCCACAACTAATACTTGGCACAAGCAACAACTCGGACCGGACCTGACCAGGCTTCAGATCCAGGCAACTGGACTCGACGATCGAGCAGCACACTACAGTAGTGGTCCGTATCTATCAGGACTGTCAGCACCTACCTAGTCATTGACCTATGCCTATCTAGGCTATGGCACTGCACTAGTCTTTGGTGAAAGCGGGGAAATGAGGCTGCCACGATCCGAAGGCAGTTCTGCAGTCGCCTGCCACACTGCCGACCTACATAAAGGGTGAAGATTACTGCTAGCTGGGAGCTACGAATCCTCGGGACAAAGACTCGCGACTGTGAAACTTACTTCATGTGCAAACAGTACAAACATAATTGATAGGGTATGACTTCAGGAGTGCGGACAGGCTGAGGCGACTCGACCCGCGAGCGCCCAGGCCTTGTGCGAGCGAGGCGTGATCTTGGTGATCGCGAGCGAGGCGTGATCGCGAGGAGGCCGGGCTTCTACGCTACAAGTGGGGCAGCTCGGCGTGAAGTAAGAGCTAATACTTATAGGTGAGAGATTTGTGTAACACGTGTGGCGAGGTTCACTGCAACAAAAGGCTATCGAGGCAGGACTCGTGAAAGCGACCTCCTCCGAGTCTTTCGGGAGGTCGGGGGTATACGTGAGCCGTAGATCTACATGATTGTGTACATCTACTCGACGCCACATGAAGCCATTTGCCATTTGACGAGCCTACACTGCACTGATGTCTGATGTCACGTCCTGCAACGCACGAACAGATAATAATTGGCTGCACTGACCGTGTACAGACAGTAATTATTCACCCAAGAGGCCATACTACATTGTACATGCGATCGAGTCCACCTACCAAACCAGGTTTTGAACAGTCAGACTAGACGTGCACAATATATAAATAATTGTAATTATAGCACAAAAATTAATAATAATTGACAAGGAGTACAATGTTTTTAGGAAATTAGAGGCCACATTCCACGTACTGCTCTTTTCTCTCCGAAACTCAACACTTGCAAGCCAGATATGAAAGAAAGAAATCATCAGTCACACCACCGGGACTCGAACCAGGGACCTTGCTATACAGCTCAGTTGGTTAGAGCATTGCTCGTGAATAGCAATGTCCCTGGTTCGAGTCCCGGTGGTGTGACTGATGATTTTTTCTTTCTTTCATATCTGGCTTGCAAGTGTTGAGTTTCGGAGAGAAAAGAGCAGTACGTGGCATGTGGCCTCTAATTTCCTAAAAACTTTGAAATTCTCCGTTAAGTCCAAATTTGAAAAGGAGTACAATGGACTGAGATACTCCGCGGCATGAAAATCAGCTCGAGCATTGCTCCATAGCGCTAACCAACGGCCTTCCAACTACTACTTGTAGTACTATTGTGTCAGTTCAGAAGTTCTCTGCAGTTCACGTCACAGTATAAGAATTAGCAGAGAAGTGTTCTCTGTCCACCCGGGAATGGGTATGACTCTGAGAGAGCATAGCGTGGGATAAAAGGGAGTGACGAGTGCAGGGCCGGCCTCTCTTGTCTTGCGCACAGAGTTGAGTGAAAGTGCCCACTCACCCACCCCAGCAATCATCATGACGCCCCCTTTATGGCTACTTCCCCTTGTCAAACCCCCAAGGCGAAATGATAGTAGCCGACTGGCCGAAATTAAAAAAAGAAGAAGAAGGACATAGCTGTTTCTTTCCCCAATGCAGGACAAGCTTCTTCTTCTTCGGTAACTACAAGTCATAATAAATATGAAAATGACTGTGAGACTGAGAGTACAGTGTACATGTAGTAGAAACTTAGATCAGTTTCTCCAGTTGCAAGAACTGGATAGCTTCTGATGGTTGTGTGAGAATTGCCTCCCTGACTGATGTAAGGTGCTGACGTGTGCGTAGCTGCTCGACTGCTGTGTCTGGCGGGGCAAGCTAGCAGGAGGTGGGCAGCATCATCAACTGTTCCAGGACAGTGAGTGCAATCGGGTGAAGGTGCAGCCTCAATCTGGAACAAGTACTTGTTCAGCAGGCTGCAGTGGCCAGTGAGGAGCTGATTGAGGATGGTGGTCTCATGCCGGGACGGAGTGCTGCGGAACTTGCTGGTGTTGAGCAATGGTCGGGGGTATGCGGTTGCAGACCGAATTGAAGCCTTGGCAGCTTGGATAGGTAGCTGAACCTGGACCTGTACACACTACCGGTATGTTCCATTCCGGGCAAGGCGATCCGCCTTGTCATTGAGAGCAACACCGCAGTGGCTGCTGATCCAGACAAGGTTGATGGAATGAGCCTTCTGAGCAACCTCTGTCAGAGCATCGAACGCAGGGATGGTCAAGCTGCAATAGCCAGAAAACGAACAACAACTAAAACAACAAGTCACTGAGTAGCCAGAGGACTAGGGTCACAAACGGTGAATCCACCCAAACCAAACGGGTGCCAGTAGGCCGGCTGAAGGAATTAATTTTGCAACCGAGTGCATCTCTACATCGCTGGGAAAGCTGTACTGTAATTCGTGTTATTCTGCAGAGGAAGAAAAGGCTGAGCGTCATCAAGTCGTATGTGGAAACCGAGCGTCACGCTTCACTATCGAAAAGGATTTGGAGAAGTCGGGCGTCCGGCAAGAAACACTAGTCACAAGCTGGGAGAAATACAAGAAGGATCGATGAGACTTACCTCCTCACCCTTAGGGGTAAGCGGATTATGCTGGGAAAAATGACCAGATTGTGCTCTAGCGGATGCTCTAGCGGATGCTCGAGAAAACAGCCAATTTATATGCAACACCAAAAAGACCAAAAGAACAGACAATCGTCATGAAAAAAGGAATCTGACCATTGTCATTATGTGGACTGGGAGCTTTGTGGAAGTACAAGACAATAATATGGAAGAGGAATACCAAATTCACAAGCAAACTTTAACTCGGATGCTGAGCCAGTAATAAAGGTAAAAAGAGAAGAAACACATGAGAACGAGTTATGCAGCAACTATCCACGACTGTAACAAGATGATAAACAGTCAGAACGTGCGATAATAGGGTACAAAACTGACAAGCTACTGAGACATTCAGCGACCTGACTGTTTATCATCTTGTTACAGTCGTGGATAGGCTCTGGCGGATTATGCTCGCGAAATCATGGAATTATGCTTTCATGGATTCTCGCATTATGCTCGTAAAATCCTCATATTATGCTTTGGCACCCGGGGATATACACTTTGTTGTCCTTATGGAGCCTCAAAGTTCGGAAAATTGTGCTTTTTTTCGTAGTTGCAAGTGGCCATAAGTACAACAAAATACATTTGTATCCCCATACCAAGACGTCCATGCATGTTAGAGATCAACATGGAAAAGAGAAAACATTACTTCTTCTATTCATGGTGAAAAAGGAGAAGGACAAAATGTTACGAGTTACATGTACTTGTATGAACAACTGTCCACCAACGTAACCAGATCTTATACAGTTAGCGAGTGCGACAAAATGGCACAAAACTGACAAGGAGTACTGAGACATTCGGCGGCCTGACACCTAGCTCACCATCCGAATTCTTCTATTCAGTACTTGATTTCTTTTTAGGGATGTACCATGATGTACAGGCAAAGCTCAAAAACCGGCGAAATCAGATAAACCATCAGATCCGGAGGGCATCGCTGAAGGAGGCTGAAGAGCGCTTGAAATTGGTTGCCGATAAAGCAGGTAGATTCCAGTGTCTGCTCTAGGATTGTAGGACAGCCGGGTACACGTGTACCTGGCGCAACCATTTCAACCGGGTCGGAGCCGGGTACACAATGTACCTGGCGCTGTCTCACCAGCCGAGTCACATGCTTTAAGGTTGGTTGGTTTATTTTAATTCGGACAATAAACGGGAACTAGGCCCAATGATAATATAAAGGCGAATGGATAAGCCGCATTTAGAAAAGAGAGGACAGGAATTAGAAAACTACGAAAGAAGAAGAAGTATCTGACACATACAAGCCATGGACATGTAGTCAGTCCTTTCAAAGTTCGCAAGTGTAAAGTACCAACCGGGTCACAGGTGACCCGGTACTATATTTTCAACTGGGTCCAAGCGCCGCCCAACCGGGTGGATTACCCGGCTCACCCGGCGCTGGAGCAGACACTCATTCATCATCAACGAAAAGGACGCTGCCGCCGCTATTGGAAAGCATTTCGATACCCAACTCAACAATTCCAGCGCACAGGCAGTTCCATAATTTGACGGTCCTCCGCGGCCACTGTATTTATTTTATGGATTCCCCAAAGGCCGAGGCCTAAGTCGAGGGGGTCTCCGTTCATGGCTTACTGGGAATATATCTGCAAAACTGTCAAACCCAATTACTTGCAGTGAAGTACATGTAGCTAAAAGCCCGATGAAACTCAACAACGGACGAGCATCTGGAGAAGATGAGGCCCAGCTGAATTGCTCGAGTATGGAGGAGACCCTATGGCTTCTACCCTTTCCTCAGTTGTCAATGGTATAATTTAGCCATCATCAGTCATTGGTAGTAGGTGGAGGAATCCTCATCCAACTTTTGTATTTGTATTTATATCATTATCTCATGGCACATCATGATGACGGCCAATAAAACTGAGACAAGGGTGAAAGCCAACCACAGCAGTAAAACAGATAAAAGAATAAGAGGCAAAGAAGGCAAAGGAGGAGACAAACCAGCAGAATATACATGAAACCTATAATTGAGCAGAGATTTTAGCAACAAAATTATCCATCGACGTGCTGGTCTTGGCCTGCGTTGGTAATGTTGCCCACAACACATAGCCAGCAAAGATCGGGGATCTAGTGAATAGGGTAGAGGCAGCGCGTGGGAGACTGAGTGAGTTCCGGGTATTCCGTGTTTCGCAACTTCAAAAGCTCAATAAACCTCTTGGACCACCGTCCGATCTTTGGCCCATAGACTATAGTGCTACTTACATGTACATCGCTTAGGAAAGTACTATCGGCGCTCATAACCCTTGCAAGGATCAGACCAAAACACATAGCGGCTTCCGGGGCGGACGGTCAACGTCCGATGTCGTATGGGCGCACAAATGCCTGGCTGCCAAAGCCCAACGCTTTCACTGGGACATTCACATCCTCGGAATTGACCTATCAAAAGCATTCGACAGTATCAGACGTGACCAACTGATGAGTGTACTAAAGGAAGTCGTGAACGAGGATGAACTGCGTCTGATGCAATACCTACTCTCGTAAACAAAGCTCCATGTCCGCCAAAGCCCTTGGGAAAACGTCATCGTCAACACTTCAGACCAGGGAGTCGTAATATACACTGGTATATATTTTACGACTCCCTGCTTCAGAC